ATAATGACATCAGGAAATTATCTACATCACAAAGATACAGTATATTAACATTCATGCAATACTCTATAATCAGGATTCAGGAACAATACTTATAAGGCACAAAAATATTGATAAAACTGGCAAATAGAAAGGGTTCAGAATGTTTTTCTGCTGGGAAGATTAATAATAGAACCATATACATCCCTTTGTTTTTTAGATATATTGCCTAAATGTGTAATTATTTAAAAGTGCAAAGTTTTAAACATAGCACTGTTTAAAAGGCAAAGACCAAAATCACTCCAGTGTGTGCTCATCTGTATGTTTCATTTCTTAAAAAATGTCGTAAACCTCACATCTAGAGCTAGAGGATCAACACTGAACTCTCCAAAAGGCAAATGGCACTAATCTAAGACACAATGCCCAACCTGGAAACACTATACAGCAGTAGCAACCAGCCTATGAAATATTAACCCAACTTAGGCCTTAAAAACACACTACACGCTGCCTCATCCACACTGGGCAGTGATGTCCTCTACTGTAGTTTATGTTGACAAATAGGCTATCCTTCATAAAGTGTTTTATAATGTTTAAAACATAATCTCATATCTTTGCTAAACATTGTGGAAAAGCAAATGTTTTATAGCAAACTGAACAGTGCCACTTCAACAACGATAGTTTAATTATGATGCTAATATTTATCCTGCAATACACAAGAGCATAAGACAAATTAATTTACATGCATTTTTTTGTTGTTGTGATGCTGCTTAGTAACGGCATTAAATTATTTGTAAAACAAGTCACAGCGCTTAGCACAATGTTTCATCCGGTTCACAATTACACTGTCACGATGCTTCAATCTTCCTGTGACGGTAAGCAACAGGATTATGAGTCATTTCAGTTGATTGTGAGGTATTTTGTCCCCACCGGGACTCAGATTAAAGGATCCCTTACACCCCTTACCATGTTATCTGCCCTGGTCAGGACCTTCTGTTCCAGAGGCAGTAAATTGTATACCTGTTCCTAAATGTGCTGGTCTTAACCCTTAAGGGAATCATGTTACACTGATACACATTGTGAGCAGCCAGACTGAACATTCTTGAACTGTGTGGCTTCATGATGCTCTTATGAAATCAGAGAGATATCTGAAATCTGATTAGATATTTTGCTGCATGGCTTCAAACCTGCATCATCAAAATTGTGAAATCATAAATTATAGGACCTAGACAAACTAGAAATGATACCAGAATATGACAAACATTTAATATAATAAAAATGAGGGAAATATTACTCTATGTTGGCAACAGACCAAAACTATGATTTTAATTATTACAAGCATTAAGCATGAGTCATCATTTAAAAAGCAAGAACAATAAGTTTCATGATTGATTGCTTTTTAAATATCTTTGATGCAATCAAATGTAACAGTCATTAATAGCTGCCACAAAGGTCTTGTCATTATGAAAATGTTTTTAGTTGCCTGATGTCATTGTAGTGGTTGTGGATTTGATGCTAAATGATCTCAGCATAAATATACACAGAAAATCTTTACAATAAGCCTCTATAAAGAATATAAACTTGCACTGTGGTTATAACAAAAAATTACACAAGCTAGAGCTAGAGAGAGAGAGAGAGAGTGCTTGTGTGTGTAATTTTTCTTTATATATACATATATATGTAATATATACATATAGTCTTTTTGGCAGCAGCTTTTATTTATAATGGGACATTTTTAAAACTGTTCTGATAGATAATGGCCACTAATATTATTAAGAGATAACATGACATACAACGATTAAACTGATAGACCTCCATCAAGCTGGTTAATCAAGTCTTGCACCAGTAACAAATCAGCTAAACCATGTTTTAACAGTACGTTTTTTTTACATGTTTTAACAGTAGAGACATAGACCTAATTCAAAAGACAAATACACAATTTTGTTACTTTTCATAGAAGAAAGTTGCAGTGAAGTTCTTGAATTGCAGCAAACACACATCAGATAAACCTAACATGAACATGATATAAACACTATCCCACTTTGCCGATGATCTTTCCCACTTCACCTAAAAAATGAGAACACCAGTCTATTGTTTTTATCTACTGGCATCGCAAAATCCCAAAAGACAGAGAATATAAAGCTTTCATCAAGCCTCCAGGAATCTACCAAAACCTGTCCCACTTTTGCACAATTCACTCTGAAAAACACCACACAGCGTGACACCCATAGATCATACACATGATAACATGAAACACGGGTCTCAAGGGAATCTTCACTTTCGATGTCTCATCACAGTTGGCCCTCAAGTCTGTGAGTGAACCATGGGGATTAAAAGAAAAACAATCCTCTTACTGCAGCTCGGCTCGGGCTCGGGAAAACCACTACTGCTCTGTTTACCAGACGCCTTCAGTTTACTAGCTGACAGACATTTCATATTCAGCTCGCTACCAACTGCAAAATATTGCGCAGGCTGGCAAAGCAAAACCACGAAAACTAAATCCCATTCTACAGCTAAATACCAGTTTATTTTCAAAAACATCAAGCGAAAGCGACACACACTTAATAGTCTATTTATATGTCGTTCTGAACAGAGAAAGACTGTCGCGTCTCTCTCTACAACCACATTAAATCGGCCTTCACGATCTCGTGGCCACTCGGAAATCTCCCCCCGCTAGTATTCATACCGCATAGACGAGGGCATCCCCCGCCTCCCCTTCTCCTGACCTTGCAGGAAAATGACAGCTTCAACCAACATCTTGAGTAATAATGGATTATTACATCGTCAGAGATGCAAGGAAAACTTATATAGGGAAAAACATCAGCCATAAGACAGGGGATGATTGGCGAGACAAACAGTAATACGTGGCACTGAATCCGTGACACATTATTAATCTAATAGTCATCCATTGCTTTCAAACTGAGATTAATCATTTCTCCTTCAAGAAGGTGTATACAGTTCATTTAAACCACAACGTATCATAATTCCTCGTTGGTTTAAGTGGGATTTCTGTCATGGAGCAGCTCCTCAGTCGCTTTTAAATGGCAGTGCTGGCTAAGATTGCAGTCTGCGCATTTTTGACACCGGGAATGATGTTTAAGGTCTGATGCACTGAAAATGTCAACTAAGCATGTGAGAAAGCAGAAAAGAAAAGACGTTTTTCTCTTCTAACCTAAAATATTGCAGGTTAAATGGCACACCTGAATCTCCTTCCCCTGCCCGGAGCATCTGCTGGACAGCTCCACGGACACAAAATGCTGCCTTCGGCTTTATCAAACGTCCTCTAACAATCAAGTCGTTGTTGATCTATCACAAATAAGGAGATAATTAAATCCATACCTTTTCCTGCGCCCGACTGAGCCTCTTTTGGACGTTTTTGGCAAATATGCCCGTCTTTATTTCAGCCATGGCTGCTAGTGCTCTGAAACGAGAAAGGCGACGTTTCAGCACCTCCAGAGCAGTGGAGAGCGGAGGGGGAGGAGCGGCATTTAAAGCCACAGTACGCACCACAGAGAGCCCTTACCAAACCGCCATTTCTCAATATCTAAAATACATGATATCAAATACGCTTGAGAATTTCATCGATAATTATTCGGTCAACATTATAATACGTATCAGCATGTGTAAGGCGATGTGGATACCTAGAGACTGGTAGAGCTTCGCAAGTAAATGTGCTCTGCTGCATCTCTTGTGGTTGCATGTATTCTTACACTCTCACGTTTTACGCTGCAATCCCTCCCTTTTGCCTACTTTTGATGCCCCCTCATTGGCAAAGGCAAAGCAGGCGCAGTGTGGTCACGGTCACCTCTACAGCCCCTAGCCCTAGTCGTCGTCTTTTTTAATTGAGAAATTTTTAATAAATTGCATATTTTTCCTTTTTATTTCCAATGTTTTAGTTTATCTTAATGGAGTACATACTATTTTATACTTAATACATACTTTGAAATCCGTTCATATGCAAAATCATTTATTTATTATTTATTTTATTTTATTTTATTTTATTTATTTATTACCAATTTCACTTTCAAAAGGATCTCCTATTATTACTAACCTATCAAAAATGATAGTCTCAACAATTCTGAAACAATCTAAGTGCCATCTAGTGGATGAAAAAATATCCTGCAGCCTTGGCCTGGGCAGTAGATTACTAGGGTCGGATGCCATAAGGCTCTATATATTTTGGTCAGACTATTTTAAGTTTAAAATTCAAACACATGTATTTCATTGGTCATATCCTGAAGGCAAACAAAACAGAAAAATGGCAGATGGCTAGGCCGAAGCCACAAATGTGATTATATTATGAAAATTCATATGATTAAAAAGTAGGCCTATTATAAGAAAATATTAATATTTAAAAATCATCATGAAAACTGACCCAAATCATGAGCCTTGAAGTGAATAAAATAAATGTATTAGCAATAGTTGTGTGACATAGCCTAGGAACTATTTTCAAGAAGAAATGCTGAAAAGCAGCATGGTTTGTGACACCTCGATCAAAAATCATTCAGAAAGCTTGCCAGAACCAGAGAAACGCTACCCTGAGTTATTTGACACTAATGCCAATAAAAAATGGTTATTCTAGTAGGCCTATTATGCTATGGGGACTAATAATAACAATAATACACATTTATTTGTAAAGCACTTTTTATACATAAAATGCAACTCAAAGTGCTTCACAAGCATAAAATCAAATCAAATAAAAATCAAACAACTATAAAAGGTTAAAAATTTAAAATAAAGCATGCAGTTTGACCTCAATATCAATATAAAATGATAAAACAACGATAAAAGAATCAGAATATACAATAAAACATAAAAACTGACTTAACTTCACACAACACTAAACGCTAACAAGCCCAAATAGACGACAGTATGCCGCAAAAATACCCAAAAACTGTTCAAACGAAGAAACATTTGCTTGCACAAACAAGCTTATCGTCGATTAAAATAATAGTAGACTACGTGGCAACAGTGAGCAGCAACGCGCCGGAAAACTACAAATCCTACAATCCCCTATTCACAGGAAGTATTCGTAGGCTTTTCCTTTGTAGTCCCTGTTCGGCAGAACAGTAAAAGCAGGTGAGTTATATAAAAGCGACTGCGGCTGTTTTTGCTGTTTTGTCTGAGATTGGAGAATGATTGTTACTATTCGTTTCGTTACTGATGTGGTTATATCACTGATGAGATAGTGGAGTCTGTCAGAATGCGGAAGTGTTTCTGTTTGCTTGTTTTTAGTTGTGTGTGTGTGTGTGTGTGTGTGTGTTGTGTGTGTGTGTCGCATAACTTGTTTTATTTGTATTTCCCTCTGCATTAGCCCGCCATGCAGAGATCCAAGTTGGACGTCTCTGTACATGTGTCGTTATGATTCAGGTACGAAGGATGTGCAAAATCGCCAAAGTCACCAAGTCAAAACCATGAATAAAACCGCAAAGTCTGCTTGTGAGTCTGGCCGACAGAGTAAGAAAAAAAAAGTCAAAACGAGTCATGGGTATGCCATAGCACTGGTTTCCTTAATGCAAAATATAAGTTGACAAGTTATTATACATTTAGTAAATTTTTAACTGCTCATATCGAAGCTTATGTTATTTCATGTTGAACATAACTGATCCTCCTCTTTAGATCGACACAGGGCACTCAAGGACAGAAAGCAGATGTGAAGGGTCAGGCAGCTGAAAAAGATGCTTGTTCTCCTGGACCTGAGAGAAGCTCTGAGTCTTCCCACACTATGCAAAAACCTGCTCAGAAGGAGGCTAAATCTAGTGACAGTCATTCATCCCAGCAGGATCTGATGAAGACGTCGTCAGCTGAAGATGAAAAGGGGTATTCTGTCTGTCAATTCAGCTCTTTCTGTGCATGCAGTATGGCTGTAGCTTACCATACAATAGGTGCTTTTGGAGAGAGAGTGTAGATTGTGCCACTTTTTGCTTAAGTGTTATTCAAGGCAAAGAGAAATAACAGTAGATAAAATTAATACTTCTATTTATAATTCTGGATATCTGCTATCATGTGAAATTGAGGTTAAAATAGGTTCGTCATGTCAAGGGTTAGCTTAGACAAGTGGTTTTGGAATACATTTACATTTCATCTACATTTCAAACACCACACCAACCGTTTTGGGAAAATGCTTATTTTAATAATTAATAGCTTCTCTTTAGCCAATTAATTTACTAGTTTTATATGCTGTCAATTCGCTAATATAAATGTAGGGCCCCATGATATCAATTATATTTATTTTTTTTCATTTAAATTTTTCAATTCAATTTTTTTTTCATTTTCTTTTTTTTTTTTATTCCATTTTAATGGTTAAATTCTTCATTAATTGAAATCATGAAACTTATACAATTTAACAACAATTTATTATGTTAAATTTATTACATTTGGGGTGCTATGAAATGTTTTATTTTTTGCTAATTCCATTTTATTTTTTTCCAAATTCTGTTTTCCATTGTAATATTTCTGGACTCCATTTGAATGTTTTTAGTAAATTATAATAATAAAAAAGCATGTCTAATCAACTGAATTCATAAACCCTTTTTTTTTTTCATAAAACCATAAAAATGTAGTAATTTTTTTGATAATAGGACCCTATGACAGGTTTTATTTTTTCAGAAATGCAAACGCTAAAACACCACAAGCATCACACAGGCTTGAGTATGTGCAGTAGATGAAACAGCACCATTTAGTCACACAGAGACACTTAAATAGCAGTCTTTTTGTGCTTCACAGACACTAGTCCATAACGCAGTTCATTTTTGTTTACTAGATTAAGGAACTGACACAACTTACTATGCACCATTTTGCATAAGTCTTTGTCGTTTCATAGTGATGTGGACCTGTACAGAGGAGAAGAGGAAATACAAAAAGAGCTGCAGGACAAGCAGCAGCCAAAGTCAGGTAGTGCCCAGTTTTTGAAGAATGTTCAGTGTGTATTGAAATGTTGTAGAGATGTCTGTGAGTTTTTTTTTTTGCCTGAGCTAGAGGTGTGTTTATTCCCATCAGCGGCTGTTGGTGAGACCCAGAGCAGTGTATCAGCTGCCGAGGATCTTCAGACCTACAGCGAGAGAGAATGGAAAGGCAACACCGCAAAAAGTCTGCTTATCCGAAAGGTGAGCCTGCTTCTTTCACACATTACTGTAAGTGTTTATTTTTTAAAGGGCATTACTCACACATGCCTCTTTTTTTAGGGATATGAAGCAATAGCCAGTGAGTTCAATCTGCGCAGAGTAAGAGGTGATAACTATTGTGCACTAAGGGCGACGCTCTTCCAGGTGCTCAGCCAGTCAAAACAGCTTCCTGCCTTGTTACATGACTCTGAAATTAGTGAGGTAATTGAGCCTTATTGTGCTTAAACGTTAGACATCCCTATTACATTACATCCTGACTAATTCTGTTCTTGCACAAAGCAGCATGACTTGATCATTCAGGGCTCAACGCTAAGGATTTTTTCTACTGGCCCAGTTGGGGCAGCAGTTCAAATTTTTACTTGCCCTGCCAATATTTTATCTGACCCTGCCACAAAAAAATAAAATAGTTGCTGTTATCATTGTTTTTGACCCATGCTATCTTTTTATATGACACCAAAATTATACCAATTACCAATTTGATACGAATTACATTTTTACAATTCTCAATTCCAATTTCGATACCACGGCAAATTCAAAAATTATTAAAGACAGTTATTACGGAACAGTCAGTAGATAAGAACAAATGAACATGTAAACTTTTCTGACGAATGAAGGTACATTCATATAAACCCCCAATTCAATATTTAGGATTTTCTTCCAATATTTTGTGCATCATGAAATTGAGCTTGCTCTGTCTGGTACAGTATTTTCTCTTCTTTGCGTACGTCTTCAGCATCTTCGGCCTCTGTTAACAGCCGTTTACACACTTCATAATATTTCCACACAAATTACATGTTGGAAAATGATTGCAGGCAAGCCCGGAACAGAAATCTGTTGAAATAAAACAAATAATGGCCAGTCGACCGGTGCATCTGTACTCCACTGTATAAATTAAAAACAGATTAATCATTGTTTAAGCTACAAAGTTACTCACCGGGAGGAGTATTTTGACACACTTTTGTATGTATTTGTCCATTTGTCCAAAGCGCACTGTACACACAGAAAACAGCGTGCGAGTACTGAATGGAGTTGTCTTTCACATCTATCTTGAATGCTTTAAAATTGCTTAATTTTTTTAATTAGAAAGGCTTAAAATATGTGCAAATGATAAACTTTATAATCAGGCCAGTGACAAACTCGTCAACTGTCCCGAGCGTCTTTCACTCTGGCCCCGGGGTCATCGGGCAGTCCTTATTGTCGAGCCCTGTCATTATATTGTGCATATCAATATAGAATGTTATTATGTGTTAAGTTGACTTGGTGCATTATGGATTCCCCGTTGTAGTGGCCAAAAGAAATGCACTCTGATCAGGATTTCATTAGGGAGTGGCAGTTTCCATTTGAAATTAGCAAGAGCAAAGTGCAGCATCTTGAACAATGCCTGGAGCTACTGAAGAATAAGGTAACTTTTGTTTTATTTTTCCTTAATTGCTTATGTGCATTTATATACACTTCTGTTCAAAGGTTTTGGGGGCAGATTTTTTAAATGTTATTGAAAGGATTCTCTAATGCTCACCGATACAGCAAATAGAGTAATATTGTGAATTTTTATTACAATTTAAAATATATTTACAAATTTTATTTATTCCTGTGATGGCAAAGCTGAAATTTTAGCAGACATTATTCCAATCTTCAGTGTCAAATGATCCTTCAGAAATCATTCTGTTGTGCTGATTTGGTGATCAAGAAAAAAAAATTACTTTAATGTTTGAAACAATCAGTGTTGTTCTACTTAATATATTTGTGGAAACTGTGATATGTTTTTTCCAGAATTCTTTGATGAATAAAAAGTTCAAAAGAACATTTATTTGAAAATAGAAATCTTTTGTAGCAGTATAAATGTCTTTACTGTCACTTTTGAACAATTTAATGCATCCTTGATGAATAAAGGTATTAATTAAAAAAAAAATCGCATTGACCCCAAACTTAATTGTACCCACTTGGAAATATTTTATTGTTTTATCTTTAGTGGCAAGAGGCTGTCCAGTGTAAAAGTCTTGAGGAGAGGGAGCGCATGTGCCAGCAGGTGTTCAGAGGTCATGATGAAGAGTATGAGCTTCTTGAAGCACTGAAGTTCTTGATGCTGAGGACTGCCATTCAGTTGCACTCAGATATGGAGAAGGGCTCTGATGTACCAGAGTTCTGCTGGCTCCTCTTTGCTCGTGACTCGTCCAAATGCCCCAAGACATTCCTCACCAACCACCTCAGACATGTAGGCTTCAGTGGTGGGCTGGAACAGGTTAGTGTGGTTTAATATGAATGATTACAAAAAATCTTTAGCCTTGTACAAATAATAACTACTAGATTATTATATCTACTGTTAATTAATTCATTGCATTGTTTCAATGGTTGAAGTGATTGTATTTCATGAAGGAACCTCTCCTGATGATATAATGTTGTTTAGGTGGAGATGTGCCTCCTGGGTTATTGCCTTCAAGAGACGATCCAGGTTGTTCGGCTGTACAAGTGTGACACTGAAGAGTTTATTACATACTACCCGAACGACCACAAGAATGCCAGTCCTCTATGCTTGCTTACAGAAGATGACAGACACTATAATGTACTCGTCCCCAAAAAGTCCTCCAAATTTGATTCATATGGTAGGCCAAAGTGGAATCCACCTTCAGATGGACAATCAAGCATAACAACACATCTTTAAAGAGTAAATGGCAATCACACACAATCTACAGAACTCAGGAGTTACAATCCTTCATGTTTTCCACATGGTTGTTCTTGAGTTTATGTTTTGGGATATTTTTTCTTTCATGTTTTAATTCTTATACATTTTAAATATTTGCTTATCTTTATTCTTCTACCTATGTCATTTTAAATAAATTCTGTGCAATAGTTTTATGAGACATAGCTGGACCTCCAGCTAGAATGGGATTTTTTTTGTTTAGTTGATTATGAAATATTTAGTTTACAAAGTTAATTATTGCTTTGCATATTACAATAAAATTAAACTAATTTTTAGATGTTACATGTAGTTAATTTAGTGTGCCATTCAGTTCAGGAGTTTCCGCTGGTTTCAGTATCTTGTACTGTCTTCAGTTGTCATCATCTTAATAGTCTGGCAATTTATTACTTTGCAGAGCAATTTACACAGCGTGGGCAGGAAATGAGAAACAGGCACAACTCAATAATTCATACAGCATCTGAAGCATGCAGCATTACAGCAGTCCGCCTCCATCTCAGATTAATTGTTCACTGAAACTTTATGATGAAATGTTCTGACGATGGAGTAAAGAAATGCCAGATGTTTCAGAAGTTTATGAATGCATGAACCTTTCAATTGATAAAAGGTTTTAGATTTTGGGGGGCGTGATGGCTAAAACCAGCTTCAACTGATCTTGTATGGTTTACATTACATTGTGACAAACGGATCGAAAAAATTACTTCGGTGCATATTTTACTAGCACCTTTATATGTTTCTGACTGGCCAAGTTATTCTGTGCTTAAAAAAATTAATGGCTTTAAAATCAGTCCTGTAATTAATGGGTAACCATGCAAATGCAATTCAAATGTAATATGGTCTCTGCAGTTGCAGAATTTTGTATCAGATTTAGTTTATCAATACAATTACAATATTCAGGGCAAGAGAAAATAAAAGCACAAATCAATGTTTTTGCATCATCCAATTAAATAAAAATCAGATTCAAACAATATTGAGATGGATAAAGTGGGTCTCGGTAACAATTTAAGTGAAATTTAAAACTAATTATCTGTAATGACAGCAAGACTCAAATAATACATAATACAAAATAATGTTGTTTTTTTTTTTCAAAACTCAAGACTCTTATTTTTAATTTTAATGTTTGTATCCCCAGGATAAGTTGCCCCTTTGGTGGTATAAATTCACTGAAAACGGAACACTTGTTTATCAATGCTTGTTACAACATGGTTGTAATTCCTGAACACTTTGGAATACAGACCTAAGGTTGGTCTCTTTTTAAAGAAAACACATAGCAGATTATTGCTGTAGTGAAAGCATTTAAAAAAAAAGGAAAGTATAATTTAAAAAGTTATAGAAGTTGAAGTTTACAGTAAATATAATGTAGTATACTGTTTTTTTATTTAATATAAAATAAATATTTTATAAAATATGTTGCACTCTAAAAAAGAGTGCATATAAAATCAAAGCTATATCTAACCAAGTTATGTTCCAAATTTGAAGTTGATATATAACTATACCAAAAATAACCACTAGGTGACACCCAAACTCTTGAATTTTTTTGATGCGGTTTTCTGTCACAAATCAATCATTTTCTGTCACAATATCACTTCTATTACAAAACAGTTACCAAATATGGAGCCTTGACTGTCAGACCTTTCCAACTATAGGCCTATGTGTTTTGTCAAGATTACAAAAATAATTGATTTTCTATAACACAAGCCACAAAATCTCTCTCTCTCTCTCTCTCTCTCTCTCTCTATATATACACAGAGTCTATACATATGTTTTTATATCTTAATTTTTACCCCTAAAAGGGCGAGATATTCCCTGAGATACAAACATCTCTCTCTCTCTCTCTCTCTCTCTCTCTCTCTCTCTATATATACACAGAGTCTATACATATGTTTTTATATCTTAAATTTTACCCCTAAAAGGGCGAGATATTCCCTGAGATACAAACATTTAGAGACAGATTACAAAAAATGTAAGCATTTAATTCATAAAATTTCAAAGTAAACCTAATAAGCTAATGCTGAACAACCGCTTTTTAAACAGGTAAGTCCCCTCCAACATGTGTAAATATGTGAACTAGATCAACTTTTATCGGAGGGTGAGTAGATTTCCCACTACAAGCGGCCATGCAGTTTTAAAGGGGTCATATGACTTTGCTAAAAAGAACTTTATGTTGTGTATTTGGTGTAATGCAATGTGTTTATGCGGTTTAAGGTTAAAAAAACACACTATTTTCCACATACTGTACATTATTGTTTCTCCTCTATGCCCCGCCTTTCTGAAACGCGTCGATTTTTACAAAGCTCATCAGTCTG